CGTAGCCAGTCCCAAAGCCAGAACCACGATGTTTACAAGTCAAGACAAAAGGTCGACGTCGACACCAACCATCATGCTTCACTTCAAGCTTCAAGATCTGATGGTGGCGTTTAGCCGAGGCAAGTGGCTGTGCTACCGTTGTCCTGGGGTCCAATTAACTCTATACATATTTCACCCCTGTTAGTTGAGACGTCAAGTCAAGGAATGCTTAGGGATGGAAAAGAATGACTGGCTTTTGCTAGGAACTTGTAAAAGATATGAAAAAGACATGTATCTGACTGCAAGATGGCTGCTGGTGGTATCTTGCATTTCTTGCAAGGGCTGAGCAAGACCTTTAAATGACAGACCAAGGACAGGGTAACCGTTGTACGTGTCCAAGTCTCGTTAACAGTGATGATTAAGCCTCGGTCAGGTAATAATCATCATTGCTGAGCTTGCATTGTAGTATTCGATCCATTTGAAAATTGTTTGAAAATGAGGAAGAGACTCTAAGGAGGTCATCATCAGTCACCATCCGCAGATCCTGCTCGCGAAGAGCAACTCACATCAATTTCATTCGTTACTGAAAACATATCTTGAATATTGTTCCAGAGCTTCAAGCTTCAGCCGCTGGAACCGCAATATATACATAGGAAAAAAAGTTAGGGAATAGATGTATCTTTTTGAATGTCCGTAGCAGGATTCGAGCCTGCGGCTTCTCGGAGATAGAAGATAACCACAACGAGATGATTTAACCACTAATCGATACGGACTTGGCAAGTAAATATCTATAGACTATACATCATCAGATATCCTGGTAGAGGTCGAATTGGCCTAAAAACAAATCAATGACAGTGTATCATCTAATAATGCGTTCGCCCGCAATCATGACTGCTCCCGTTTCTCTTTAAGCTCAATCGAGGTATACATCGCGCCGCCTATGAGTGTCAGAATAATTCCGACTGCGTTCATCGGTGTAATGGTCAGGTTGAACATGGCAACTGCACACAAAATCGTCAAGACCTGCTTAACATTTGCTAGAAACGCAGCAAGAAATCAGTGTGTAATCACCCTATGGAGAAGAGACGCTTACCGGCAACTGTCATACTCAACGCCCCAACCTTGCGATTTGTGCTAAAGCTGACCACATTCAGGCCGAACGCCAGCACTCCGTTGATAGCCAACAGCACAAGCTGTGAGTTTGGCATGCCAAGACGGGATACCGCCATGGAGCGCGTAAAGAGGTGCGGTTGTGGAAATGCAGTTTCAAGGACGCGACCGAACTCTCCGGTTAGGCACGCGAGAATGAGAGACTCGATAAAGGCGAGGGGAGAAAGTAGGTACAGGAGATGAAGGGGTGTAAGTGGAGGAAGCTTGCTATGACGTGACAATGGTGCTGGGACGGTTGTAGGGTTTTCCAAGTCCTGTTTGGAAAATCGAACACTGGATGATGGTGCTTGTAGAAAATTGGTATAAACTGTTTTAAGAGAAGCAAGTACAGTTCCAAGGAGTGTTAAGAGGAAACCCCATGGGGTGGCGTAGTAGTCGCCATATGTGCTGTGAGGCGCCGTGGTTCAGGACAAGTGCTTTACTGGGAAAAAACTTCACAAACGCACGCAAAACCGACTCCTGCCACGACGGGCATCAGAGCCAAGAGTTTCCAGCGACTACTCTTGGTACCGAGAATGATTGCAGAGAACAGAATCGTAAAGAATGGTGTAGCAGCCCGAACGACTTGATGAAACTATGAGTGGAGTTAGAACGGTTCCCGTCAAGGTCAGAAACGCATACTGGAACTGTGACGAGACCTAATGATACATTGCTGACTGTGATGTTAACAGTGTAAAGACCACTGAAAGCCAGGAGAATGAGTTTTTCGTGCGTGTTCAGCCGAGGGACAGGAGTTGATCCAGTCCGGACGAGGATTGAGCTACCAACGGCGCCACAGAAAGCATGCAATGAAGAGAGTGTGTAAGGAAAGGGGAAACTGATAAGGACCGACTTGTTGTATAAAGTGAGGGCGAGGTTAAGCGTAAAGTAAAGTGCGAGGTAGAAAGTGGATTGGGCAAGTAGGCGTGAGGGTCTAAATCTGGACAGAAACGAGGTTCGGCGTCTGAACTTGGTTCTAGAGTGATATGGTGGCGTTGGTTGAGGCAGCTCGGAGGGGGTTTCGAGGAAGGAGAGACTGGAAAATGGTGGAAGTAAGCGTGAGGAACAGTCGTGGAAAAGGTTTTGGTCTGGGCCCTTTCGAATTGTTCCCGGTGTCCGCATGGGGAATTGGCCCCCGCTCCCAACTTGAACCATCACATCCTGCTCCTTGCTGTTTTCGCTACCGGGGCCTCGTCTGTCGTCGTACGCGTTGTTTGACTTCACAACCCGGGGCTCAGGTTTATTCAGCGCAACGAAGGGCTTTTGCGATGTCACCAAGGATTTATTAGACGCGAGATCGTGTTCGTTGAGTCCCTCCTCTAACCAGGGAATACTTGACGATGAAGAAGGATAAAAGATTGACATCAGCCTCGAAGATGACTTTTCAGTCGCGCTCGGGTTTGGGCATGGCGGGTTGGACATACCGGATATACCAAAAGGCTGCAGAATTTATGTGGCGAGGAAAGAAAGTGGGGGCGGCTTAGAACATTCAAGGCGTCATACACGTCATAATTTGTCAGACTAAGGCGAGGAAGAAGGCTTTCACTCAAGTTGCTTGTTTGGCGCTGTAGCCAGACGACGTGCGGAGGGGTGAAGATCGTTGACATGATCCATATAGCTTCACTCCACGATGCTTTTCATTGCTCGGAAGATGGATAACCTCCCGTCCACGCTGCGTAGTCCTCCCGCGTGTGTTTATATGTCACGACCGCAAAATCCAGTCCGATTCGGACCTCATTAATAATATTGCAAGATAGATGCGCGGTAATTCAAAAAAAAATGCAACGTTTGTCAGCTACAAATGGATTCCTTCAATGATGTGGAGCTCATGGAGCGTCTTGAAGGCGGCTATGTAGGTTATCCACTACATGCACCATTATGTTATCTCGGGCCAGGGTATACCGACTCCTTATCAATCCCGACGCCGCTCGGCCTTGCTCAACTTGACATCCCGCAAGTCTATAGTATTTCTCTCAGCAGCTGTCGATGCTTCGTTACCTCTTGATATACATGTCGTGTTCGCCATCGGTCCGCGAGGTAGAGCGACAGTGATGCCGAGTGTGCGAGGCTTAAAGAAAACAGGACCCCAGATTTGCGAGCCGAGGACGATTGAACCGACTTGATCGAAGCAATACATACAAAGTGGTCGATTTGGCAATATTCTCAAGGCTGCTCAAGACGTCTAAAGTTGAGGCTGGAGGTCTAACTCTGCGCGGAGAAGTACGACCGCAATTCAAAGGAGTGTTACAACAGAATTCGGATCACTTCGATTGGGAGTAGATCAAGCTCTTTTCTGCCACCTAGCAAGCACATTTCGAGAAATTGTCTCTTTTTTCCTGGAACAGCCTGCCCGAAGCCCGAGGAGACGCTTAGATCGATACAATAGCACTCGAAGGTAAATTACGCCACTTGTAGCACTTGCACTAACTGTATTTATGTAGATGACTTTTGGTGCTATCGGAAGTTCCGCTCTTCCGTTGTCACGTTGAGTTTTGACTCCAAGGCACCTTCTTGATTTTCCGCCATTTTCGGCTCCCGCGACTTCGAGAGTTTCAAACACCTACCTTCTTGAGTTCGCGCATCAAGCTTTGGGTCAGGCGCGCAAACCAAGATCAACCGGTGTGAGGATGATGATATCTACCTACAGTGAAAACTGATTCTGCATTTCGAGAGCTTATTGAGTAATTTCTGAGGAACGGTAGGTCACCCTCGCTTGATAACACATGTTGAATGTTTGACCTTTTGCATGTAACAACTTCGACCTGCCTCAAAGGCTTGCTTCGCAATGGATGGATCCGTGGGCTGCAGAGCGAATTTGCACCTAGACGCACAAGGTACCATTGGTCACCCAAACAAAAGTTGATTGTGTTCGTATAATGTTCAAGCTATGAATGTGTCAGGAAGGGCTCGCCATGATTGTGAGGACGGCTGTTGATTCCTGTATTCAAACTTAGGTTGGACACCATGTTTCTACTCCCTTTTTGCCCAACATATCAAATCATCTGATGAGGGAACAGATTGGTCCCTCGTGATTTTCTGCTATGCTCAGCATCGAGCTAATTGTTTGGTTTGACAGTTTGACCCTTGCGATACGTCACTACCTTCCATTTTTCCACTAGAGATACTTAGAGGAACTAGCATTTCGATGGGCAATCCATATGTTTTCTCGTCAGGTGTTCTCTCCATCCATTTTACTCCGGAGCATACCAAGAGTCGCGCTGAAAAAGTGACCCACAAAAGAGTTCAAATTGCGAGGGGTTGCTTGCCCCGATTCTCACATATGCGTGTCCCGCGCTTTTGTCCCACAATTCTGCGATGAGGTCGCTTGACACTCTTGTACCGACGCCTGAGCCCTTGCTTCCATCATATACCTATGGATGGCATCAGAGTTGTTTCTAATGGATTTCCTGCCTGCCCATACACTTTGTCGATCCAATGACCTACACCCCGACTGCATCCTTTTGGAGATGTGCTCTTCTACGCTCACGTTTCAGATTGGTGCCTTCTAGGGATAATCCAGTATCAAGTATCAGTATCAAGATCATCAAGACTACAGGGGACTTGTTAAACCTGGATACTTGACTCGACTCAAGTTATTGAGAATAATCAAGATCTCTATAAAAGTGGAACCTGGACCGAAATGAATGTGCTTATGGAGCCTTCGACCGGTTCTATCAGGGCTTCAAATGCCGCGATGTGGGCCATCATCCTCTGATTCAGGATAGGATATTTTGTTCGCACAACACGTTGACGGCGGAGAGGCGAGGCGCGGAATCCGGACCAATATCGGGAACACATCACAAAACAATATAACCGCTGAACAAAATGAATTCAGTCAGAACACATCTTATTAATGTTGCGTCGGTCTCAGACTTGAGACCAGCAGAGGTACTTCAATACAATAAGAAGACGTCCCAATATACCCTGAAACGGCCGAAAACTGTAAGCCGGCGTCGAAAACAGTAGACGCGGGACGCACCTCACAAAACGGCACACCAGAAACCCATAATAGCAGAGTGTCTCAGATACACGCAGGGAAGGTCGCGGTCAGCGCGGGAGGCAACGATAAAGTCTCGACGGAGTAATCACACGATGGAACTGGAGTTCAACGTAAAGAGTTTAGATTGTGTATGTACGGACAGAACAATACTATTTGCTCACCTGGAGTTCAACGTAAAGAGTTGAACTCCATGTGGGCAGCTACGATCCGAAAATCTCTAACGTTTGCCTCTGTTGGCGTTTGCGGGTCCAACGATAAGATGAGATCGAGAAACATTCGTTGGGTGCAAGGGTGCACTTTCGTCACTCCCACTTGACGAGATCTTCATTTTTCGTTGACCCCCAGTGCGTCGCGGAACTGTTCGAATGCTTCACGCGGTAGAGCTTTCGTGAAAATGTCGGCGAGCATGTCCTTTGTAGAGCAATAACGGAGATCAATTTCTCTTGATTCGATGCGCTCGCGCAGGAAATGATGCCGTATGTCGATGTGCTTTGCCCGTGAGTGTGCCACGGGGTTTCGAGCCAACGCAATGCATCCCTGGTTATCTGCGTGAATGACTGTGGCCTGCGTCTGAGTGTATCCGAGGTCTTCCAAGAGAACTCGGAGCCAAATTGCCTCTTTGGT